GGGGGAGGAGTCCGGTGACATCAACGTCAACGGACTCCTTTCTCCTTCCCTTCGTTACCCATCACGGACAACTACATCACCCGACTCCTCCCCCCTTCCCTTCGATAGCCGACAGAGCCACTCGGGGAGGGGGGGAGGAGTCCGGTGACGTCGATGTCCGTGACGTCACCGGATCTCCGACGGAAGACCCGGAAGCCGGCGGAGAGGTGAGTACAGATCAAATGAACGATCAACCGTGGATTCGGCACCCCTACTTAGAACGTGACCAGCGTACCTAGAGCCCGCTGACTTTTTAAAAAAGGGACACCAGAGCACGCTGACTCGAGTATAAGCCGAGGGGGGCACTTTTCAGCCAAAAAAATGGGCTGAAAAACTCGGCTTATACTCGAGTATATACGGTAAAACATGCCTCAGTTTTGAAGCAAGCAGTACCATGGATTATAACAGTAGTGGGACCTGGCTCCCTCAATGACTACAAGAAAAGGACTTTACAAAACGAGTACAAAAATCTAATTTTTCTGCTCACCCAGGGACACGTAGTCATTAACGATTCGGGACATTGAAAAGCAGTACCAACTGAGGGGAGGGCAACAGCAAACAACCGCTAACAGGCTCAATGTGAACAATAACTGCTTGGAGGTAAAGAGCTGCCCAGGAGACCAAAACCTGATGAAGGGGGAGAGAGGGAGAAAGGTACTTAACCAGTGAGGTATGTCTCAACATGGGAAGGAGACACCAACTAGACCAAAGCTTGAAAATGGTCAACCTTAACTGAACAAACCACAATTTCCCAACAGGAAACATACCGGCAACCTGAACATTGTCAATGACAGAGATAGAACCCCCTCGTAGGATCTCAATACGTGGCATTTCAGTGAGCCACAATGGGTAGGTAGTCTACATACAGACATATTGCGACCTTGTGGCAGTGATGCAAATACACTCAGAATATGAGGCAAGGCCTCAGGTACTCACAAAAACTCAGCCAACTGTTAGTGCATGAGGGTCAGATAGCAAGAGGTGTCCAAAGTATTCCAGATAACTGCAATAGTAGAGTCCAGCTTTAGCAATGTAACAAATAAACTTAATTGAAGAGGAAATAAAAAGAAGAATTGAAGAAAATATTTTCAAGCGGAAAAAAAAAGTTAGACACAGAGACCAAGCATAGCCGAGAAGAAAACGTCCATCCTCCTAAAACAGTAGCAGAAAATAAGCCATCCTGGAAGTAGGAGGGGGACTATCCTGGGCTGGAATACATATTTTGTTTGACAGTGTCCAATACTCTTGTAGGCGGCAGTATAACCCGAACTCATATGATGTCCCTAAATGGATGAGAATTTTTTTTTCTTTTAGGTTGAGACACACACGTGCTCAGACTATTGGCATTAACTCTCTCACTGCCACGGACGCAAGCATGTCCAACAGCACAAACCTGTAAACAGACTCCAAGTTGCTAGGTAATTTACACTCCCTCAGAAGTTTCAAAAGTTAAAAAGCTTATTTAAAATAAACAAAAAAAATGTAAAATGTTTTATGTTGTAATGTGTGCCTATGTACAAAACTATAATTATGGCATGCTAGGTACCTCTGGGAACACTAGAGAGCAAGAATTCTGGGCTCATTATCCACAGTTTACTATAAATTGGTAACCTCTAAAGGCTTTTAAGATGTCAACGATAGACAATTTTGAGTACAGTCATAGTTAGAATTGCTGTTTCACGGGCAGGCAAAAAGTCTCGGCATGTGATGAATTTACTCGGCTTTCATCTTTTGTATTCTACCAAAAAATTGGTTAATATATGTGTACTAAAATTAAGTTGAGTATTTAATGAAAATGTGGGTTTCGATAAACAGTAAAAAAAAAAAAAGTGTCCCACAATATTGGTGTAACTGCCGCCATTTGATTCTACAGTCTCGTTTTTACCAAAACATATAATGCGTTGGAGGGGGGTTGGGGGGGACTAACTAATCTTCAAGCTTAAACATAAGCATGTGTGCAAAATGGGAAAAAAAAAAATTGATATAGGCAAGAAGTTTAAAAAAAAAAAACAGGCTTGAACTAGTTTTAAACGTACCTAGTTATCGCTGCTCGCTCCCGCGCCGAGAATCAGGAAGTGATCGTACGGCCGCAAAGGACCTTGGGGCGGGCGCATGCGCAGTTCGGATTCTCGGCCGGGAGACGAGCAGAGGCGCAAGGTAAGTCTATGGACGCGTGCACCCGCATGCAGACACCGCTGGATCTGAAGTGCCTGCAAGCAGACAGGAGTCAGCGCTGGATCGGAGAGCCGCCGCACCGCTGGAGGGACGCATGAAAACATGGGGAAAGAAGAGGAAGATCAGAATAAGAGACATCATTTGAGGTAAGTGCTAACATTTACATGGGGGGAGGGGACATTTTTTTTGGCTTTAATGTCACTTTAAACTATGTCCAATTTTTTTTCCATCTGTGCTGTAAACTTTTGAAAATTAATTTTTCCATAATGCTTATACATAGAGGTGAATTGGGCTTGCATTAAAGTGCTTTTACAGCTTGATCCATACCTGTAAATTTTAGTGTACATATTCAGGCTCACTTTAAAAGCTGGATGTGAAAGTTTTCCCTTTTTACAGTTTAAAAGGTGCCCATACATGCGATTTTCATTCGGAAATTGTACATGAACGGCCTTTTAAACAGAAATCGAACAGTTGATGTTACATCACTGATTTTCCTTTTTGATATTGTGATTAAAAATGTTTGGTCAGGTTGAGAACATTTTTTTTGACTGAGCAAAAAAATCAGTGAGGTTTTCGTTGAGCACAAATCTCTGCAAAAACACAGCACATGCGGAAAAGGAAAATACCGTAGTCAAAAATTGGTTGGTTAGTACGTCTAATAACGATTCCAAAATCTACATTTGACTATGCTTGATGGGGTATTCTAGCTATAAATCGAACAAGTGTTCATAACAGAAATTAATAATTTCCGACCGAAAATTTACTAGTGTATGGCCACCTTAACGTAAGGCTACAAACATACACAGAACACATAGAAACTGGCCTCAATTCAAACTGCCATTTCTCCACTGCAGAGTAACTGATGAAAAATAGGGCTTATGCCAGAGGTTATTTCAAGTCAGAACGCCAAAAAACTAACAACTCTCACTAATTCGTTGTTCTAATTAAGGCACAAAACCACCAATTTGCAAGAGATGTACCTGAACTTCTTATTGGTGCAATGCTGCCTGCAGAATGGTTCATGATACTCCAGTTCTTCAAATACCACAGGACTGCAGGTGGAAGATGAGCCATCATGTGACTGAGAAGACCCTAAAGGGCTTTGTCTTGCCTGAAAACTTGGCAGCAAACAGACCAGTCTTCCACTCCCCTGGTCACGGATAGTAACAGTGTCTGTTAATCTGTACAGGTCCGACACAATCAGCTTGTTTCCAAACCTGGAAAAAAAAAAAGTTATAAAAGGCTTAGCTGATGGAATGATTTGTCTATAAGCATGTGCATAGGATAAACGATGGGAAAATGCTACATAAATCATGCATGTCACACAATCTACAAATCAAACTAATGCTTTAGTTTCTATAGCCTCTTGATTAGGATTTATACTCTGAAACATTGATCTAGCTAATGATATCTGACAAGTCGGAGTGAACTGCAGCTTTAAAGCAAACATATGTCATGCCCATGAAGGTTAAAGCAACAAACTTGCTTTCTTCCATTTCCCACCACTCCCTTTAGCCGATGGCAGTGAAGCAACTACCAGGTATTTCCTGGAAGAGTATAGAGCTGCAGCTAACGATAATTTTCACAATCCATTAGCCGATTATAGTTCGATTAATCGGTTAAAAAATAAAATACATTTTAAAAAATGGCTCCAGTGATGGACTACTAGTTTGTATTGAGATTGTAGTCCATCACAGGAGCAAGCTTGGAGCGGTGGAAGTAACAAAAAAAAGTGTGGTGGCAATATAGTGAAATGAAAAGTGTACAATTATACAGCAATGAATGCAGAATGGCACCGGCTATAGAGGACTACAAATTCCAGCAATAGTACATTATACAGCGCAATGCAGAATACCACCAGCTATAGAGGACTACAACACCCAGCAATAGTACACTATACAGTGCAATGCAGAATACCGCCAGCTATAATGTACTATTGCTGGGTGTTGTAGTCCTCTATAGCTAGTGGTATTCGGCATTGCACCACTGTATAATGTATTATTGCTGGGATTTATTGTACTCTATAGCTGGTGGAATTCCGCATTGTGCTGTATAATGTATTATTCCTTGATTTGTAGTCTTCTATACAGCGCAATGCAGAATACCACTAGCTACATAGGAATACAACAAATCCCACCAATAAAATTATACATACAGTGTATGTACATACAGTGTATGTACATTGTGCTGTATGGTATACAGCACAATGTACCATCAGCTATAGAGGAATACAAATCCCAGCAATACATTAAAGAGCACCATGTGTGGGAAAGTGCAGGCTTACCTGAGAAGTCTTCCAGCAACTTGTTTCTGAGATCGGGCCCATCTATCGGCGGCAGTCATCCGCCTACACCTGCTCCTCCTTACTTCTTCTCCCCGCGTCCCTGTGCCAATCGTGGATTTTGGCGGGCAGTGAGCATGAGGCGGGGAGGAGGTGCGGCGTGTGGAGCGTGGCTGCAGCAAGCGTAAGGTGGGGAGGAAGTGTGGCGCGCAGCGTGTGTGGAGCCGTGAAAAGGGCCAACCAATCGGAAGCCGAATAATCGATGATTGAAAAAGTTAACAACTTTTTCAATCATCGATTATAATCGATTATGTCGATTAGTTGTTGCAGCCCTAGAAGAGTAAACAACTCACTTAATGTCAATGCCATAAAGCACCAGCCACTTTTTCCAGCTCAGCCCCAATGCCTAGCCAAGGGAGTTTGTTGGGTTTTAAGTGGGCACAGTTCACACGACTGTGTGAATGAGTATGGCATGCTGAGCACCACACATTTGTTTCTCCTCCATTCCATGCAACACAGCCCCACTGGTAATTTTCACCAGTTCAAACCACATTTTCATCATAGTTAAACACTCAATGTACACAGACTGGCTCTGGTCTCTGGGTTAATGCAGAATACCACCAGCTATAGAGGAATACAATAAATCCCAGCAATAGTACAGTATAGCTGGCGGTATTCTGCATTGCACTGTATATTGTACTATTGCTGGGTGTTGTAGTCCTCTATAGCTAGTGGTATTCGGCATTGCACCACTGTATAATGTATTATTGCTGGGATTTATTGTACTCTATAGCTGGTGGAATTCCGCATTGTGCTGTATAATGTATTATTCCTTGATTTGTAGTCTTCTATACAGCGCAATGCAGAATACCACTAGCTACATAGGAATACAACAAATCCCACCAATAAAATTATACATACAGTGTATGTACATACAGTGTATGTACATTGTGCTGTATGGTATACAGCACAATGTACCATCAGCTATAGAGGAATACAAATCCCAGCAATACATTAAAGAGCACCATGTGTGGGAAAGTGCAGGCTTACCTGAGAAGTCTTCCAGCAACTTGTTTCTGAGATCGGGCCCATCTATCGGCGGCAGTCATCCGCCTACACCTGCTCCTCCTTACTTCTTCTCCCCGCGTCCCTGTGCCAATCGTGGATTTTGGCGGGCAGTGAGCATGAGGCGGGGAGGAGGTGCGGCGTGTGGAGCGTGGCTGCAGCAAGCGTAAGGTGGGGAGGAAGTGTGGCGCGCAGCGTGTGTGGAGCCGTGAAAAGGGCCAACCAATCGGAAGCCGAATAATCGATGATTGAAAAAGTTAACAACTTTTTCAATCATCGATTATAATCGATTATGTCGATTAGTTGTTGCAGCCCTAGAAGAGTAAACAACTCACTTAATGTCAATGCCATAAAGCACCAGCCACTTTTTCCAGCTCAGCCCCAATGCCTAGCCAAGGGAGTTTGTTGGGTTTTAAGTGGGCACAGTTCACACGACTGTGTGAATGAGTATGGCATGCTGAGCACCACACATTTGTTTCTCCTCCATTCCATGCAACACAGCCCCACTGGTAATTTTCACCAGTTCAAACCACATTTTCATCATAGTTAAACACTCAATGTACACAGACTGGCTCTGGTCTCTGGGTTAATCTACACTTATCCCAATTGTCCTTTTGCACACACATTCACACAGATTGTAATTGTTAACCGATGGGCTTATGTGTGAAGCATAAACAATCTGTTGTGCCCCCTTTCACTCAAGACTTCCTCTCTGCATGGTCATCATTAGCAACACATTGCTGGAGAGGAGGAGTACTTATTAGAGGTGCACCGAAATAGAAATTTAAAAACCGAAATAGAAAAAAAATTGTCAGGCCAAAACCGAAAATGTTTAAATTTTTTAAAAATATATTTTATTAAATTAGGGGCTTCGGGGAAATATTATGGGTCTAAAAAGACCCCTGATATTTTCCTTTTAAAATAGAAAAAAAGATTGAGAACACAGAGTCCTCAATCTTTTTTTCTGTATCCCCTGTTATCAATGAACAGGAATCCTCTATGAGTGTTCCTGTTCATTGATAACTTGAGAATATAGTATGTTTACTATAAACACAATTATGAAGGAACAGGAGTGGATATAGATCACTTCCCATTCATTCATAATTGAGGATATATTAACCATACCAGATCTTCAATTATCTACATTGATCGCTGAGTGTATGTAGCCTGCTCTCCTCTGACACGCACTGTCACAGGAGGCTGAGTGAGCGGTGCGAGAGGAGAGTCCAGCCTCCTGTGACAGCACCGTCTCCGCCCCCACACCGCTCCGAGCGGTGTGGGAGGAGAGACACTGGTCGCTCACAGCGCTCTTGTCCCTCAGCGCTCGGCTGGCTGTCGACTTTCTCAACTCCACGCTGGGACACAGAGCAGTGCCCAGCGGGGAGGAAAGAAATCACGGATGTGCCGATGTATCGGCAGGAAAATGGCACTTTCAGCAATTAGCCAAAAGTGCCATTTTCGGCGGATATGCATCCCTACTTATTATCCACACTAGAGACTTTTCCCATAGTGTACAGGATGACAGTACCCGCTGGCACCATTAGCAACACATTGTTGGAGAGGAGGCAGTACCCATTATGAATGCACTCACCATAAAATCCCTTTCTCTAATGTTCACGGAGAGCCACAAAAACTAACATTTGTATCCCTTACAAACAGGACCACATCCAAAAAAATAAAAAACATGTCTTCATAAAAATAAGAACTTTGCCCCTCAACGATCAGAAAAGGGGATTTTAGAGAGTTCATGATAGCATTTATCTTTTACTGAAGAGCACAAAATTTAGATTCCATACCATGTAAACCACAGACACCACCGGCAAATGATGCTTTGCCTACCCAAGGTTGTGCAGGACTGTGACACTGTGTTCCCAAGGTGTGTACTCATGAACAGGTGGTAAGTGAAGACCAGCCAACTAATTCTGGAGGGTGCAGGGGACGTTAAGCCAAGTCCAAGTGGAAAATCATGCTGTGTCTCTGGAGGTGAAAGGGGCGATAGATAGCAGTCAAGGAGAACCCAGGCCAGCCAAAATAAAATCAGCAAAGCTCCACAAACCTTCTGTGATGCATGTGGGCCAAGGACCCAGAAGAAGCCCTGACTGTGTGGGTAATCAATGGACATTCTGGCAGGAGGAGTTGAAATCAGCACTTCAGAACACAGAAAAAAAAAAAAGAAGAAAAAAAAAAAAGAAGAAGGAGGCTGCCCACACCTGTCACTAAGTTTCCCCATGTATAAACACTCCTGCAATGCACAACCTATTCACACAATGCTGGCGAGTCTTCAGAGCCTCTGGGATGGGAGAATCCAGGTACATCTACTCTGGACCTGGAATTGGCATTTGCTGTGAATCAACAGATTTTCAAGATCTGGCTTGACACAGCTGAGCCGTGTGTTGTACAAGCAACATCCAGTTGTCTTATCTCTATAGGTTGAACTCAATGGACTTGTATATCTTTTTTCAACCTATGTAACCTCTACAGGAACATTGGAGCTGCAGGGTTGTCACAGTAAAATCCAGAGTTAGGACTTACCGGTAACTCGATTTCCAATAGTCTTCAAGGACAGCATCTTGAGATATGGAGGCTCCACCCAATCCCACAGGAAACACGTCACCATTAACCTTTTAAAAGGCCCGCCTTCTGACCAGCTCCTCAGTCATCACAAGAACCGAAGGCAAACTGGAAAAAAAGCAGAAACAGACAACACCACTGGAAAAACAGCAATACAACAAGCATTAATGGGTGGGCAGCTGCTGTCCTGGAAGACTATTGGAAATAGAGAGTCACCGGTAAGTCCCAACTCTGGATTTCCCCTCCGTCTTCCAGGACAGCATCTTGAGATAACCAAGGACTTACCAGCCTAGGGTGGGA